AAAAAAAAAACGTAATCATCCTACTACCTCATCAGGTTGCTTGATCAGTTAAAAGCACCGGAACTAGGAAGACAACGCACAGATAAATAAATCAAAGAGACTTGTAGATGATGAAGAGTAGACAGAACATCAGCACTATAGCAACCACAAGCAATAATAGGCGATTTTGAATTACCCTGAAGTGGAGATTACTTCTTTGTGTTGTAAGTTATTAAACAAATCTATATCCATATCCTATCAACTTCTGCAGCGCGTTTTACTCGAGCAAATAAAAGAAACTTCTGCTTATAGGCTGCAGAGGAAGAAGGAAAGTCAGTTGAAGTGTATTTTTGGGGCACAGCGAGGGGACACTCTCAAAGTTTTTGAATAATAAAGAACAAGCAATCGGGAATGCTTGATAGTACCCCACTAAATATAGCGTATCGGCTAGGCCATAAACTATGAAGTAACTGCACAAAAATACGCACATTGAATCACTTCAAAGCGACATCTAGAGTTCGTAAAGTAGGTAGCTATGAGAGGCATCCAGACACGAATATTCTATCGTTAATGCTCAACATAGCTTTTTGCTTTATGTTACACTCATTATTAGTGGCATAAAATTGTTGAAGTTAACATCTAAAAAGATAAGAGAAAAGCATACAAGGTCAATTTTTCAGTGGCAAGGCTTTCTGACCAAACAAATACCTTCCTTTTGATCAAATATGTTGGTATGGACGTCGAACACTACGGTCTGGATGAAGTTCGTAATTTCCCTTTGTTTAATTCTAGTGGATTTTTTTTTTGTCCTATGAATTTTTCACAAAAATTCAAAACACACCGCGTTTTCAAACGATGGAACATCTACTCTTCTTTTGCGAAAGGGTAGCGACGCGGGCTTCACGCCTACCTGCGTATCATAGTGTTCAATAGTCGATTACTTTTACCCAGCTCCACATCTGCTCCACGCATTCTGTCCCGTGCTCGACCAATAGTCTCTCTTTGCGAAGAAAGGTTGCCCAGCACTTCTGCCCCAATCTGAAGCTCCATGTAACTCGAAATTACTGGCAAAATGGGACAAAAGACAAAGAGGAAAAACACCGGCAAAACACTCAACAATTGATGCCCAACCTGTTCAGTTTCAACAGCCATGCGATAAGCATCTTGAAGTTTTCTTGAAGATCTTTCTAGACGTTCAGTATTAGCTATCAGTTGCTCCTCCTGTAGAAACAAACAATAAGTTTCACTTATTCCTAAAATTGAAATATCATGCCAAACATTCCTGCTGATCCATTTCCACTGCTTCATCATAGGCTAGCAACTCCTCGCGATTAGCCGATTCTCTAAGACGCTTAATCGCCTTATCAAGCTCTCCATCCAAAAGTCGTTTGTCATTACGGTAGCTTCGAACTCTCAGCTCATATTTATTTCTCTCAGCACTAAACGACACGCATGATACATTAAAGTACTTAATGCAATAAAAACTTACCTTCCAGAAGCCAGATCGCGCACTGCGAGTTCCATTTGTTCTAAAAGATCAGCAACCTCTGCTAGTACTTTCTGCACAGATTGTACGCTGGCTGGTCTATCAGAAGCTGGTAGCGATGGTAGACGTGCGATTGTCGCAGTCACCTGTGACGGTTACTTAATTATGAAAATCCAGCTTAGAAAGATGAATAACATTTCGCGTCCTAAATCAGTAAAGCAATATTGTCTTATGCACCAGATGAAGAAAGCCAAATTACTCTGAAAATTCGCTGAATAGCATTTAAATTTTCAAAAGAAGCGCGTAGCACTTGCGCAATACATTGGAACTCTAAACAACACTGAGCGCATCGCTATCAACGACACCAAATTTTTTTGCTCCATTTTGCACCTCTTCTTACCTCCCGGAAAGATGTAGTAGAAACTTTGATTGAAAAATCAATTAAACTTCATCCGAAAGGAAAACGTCATAATCTCACCTCAGCTGTTTGTAGCGAATATTGCTGTTCGAACTCAGCCAACGTTTTTGTCGCCATCCCGGCTAACGACATCTGCCAGTGTTTTGATTAACTATCGCAATGCATGACTCATTTCAAAAGTAATTGCTGACTCAACACTTGATCACAACGTAAAACATAGAGCTTCAAACACTTTATTAACAAATAACGATTTTTTACTCATCATACAGAACTCTTACTATGGAAAACTTCTATGACCTATAATGTGCATAAGCCCTGTTAGCTTCACAAGTCTTGTGCAGTTCTTGTTTCGCTTGAATAGTAAGACCTTCATTTTGGCTAGCTGCCAATAGCTCGCTGGCCAATATATCTCTATAATGAAGGAAGATAAGACATAAAGCGAGATATTAATGAGTCATCCCTACTTCAGATGAGTTTCACCATGTGCAGCTTTTTGGCGACATATATCACGCATCATCTTCATCGCTCGGAACTCTGCTTCAGCTTTCTCAATAGGGAACGGGACTTGATAGGTCGTTCCTCCTTAATTAAGCAATTTTTAACTTTCATACGTAATGAGAATGACATTTGGAACTGATAGAAAAAAACTTTAAACAAAACATACACAAACACCACACATACAAAATATGGAATTAGTGGTAAACCAACTGAACTGAAGAATTTGCAATATACAAAGACATTGTCAAACGCAAAGTACATGCAGAAATTTCGTAAGTCAAGTTGCTGGCAACACAGAAGGGTTTGGTATGAAACGAGAACTACTGTAAACAATCCAGAACAGCACTTCGGCCGAATTCGTCCAACAAGGGCCAGTTTTTTGACTACTTTCAAAAACGATTACCATGGGTTTCAAATTTCTACAATCATTTAAAATGTATATATTAGTGTCTAGCGGAGTTGTGGTGTATTGGCTTCATCGAAATTCAAAAGGCCTCTAAGGTAGCAAATTTGCCCTCCAAAGAGTGTTGTAAAGTAAAATGGAAAAAAA